GTGTTATAGAATCTATCAGTCTGATTCATTATCACTAAATTTCCAAAACTCAAAGCGTACAAAAACCGAAAGAATAAATAAAAATATTGACTACAACAAAAGTATATCACAAACAGACCAAAAAATAGCTGAAAGTTCCTCTAAAAAAACAATTAATGAGGAACATGAAGAAAATGAAAATCAAAATCAAGCCAAAACACGTTATAATCATGGTAGAAAAAATAAAAGTAAAGAACGAAAAACATACAATACTAGGCAAATACGCAGTTCTAAAGTTATAAGCATTACAACTAATGATGAACATGATAAAGAATAAATACACTTAACAAACGAATATTATACTAAATAAATACTAAATAGTATAACTTATAAATGTCGATAGCAATTCTCAAAAGTTTTTTTCTTTCTTGATTTTTCACCATTATCTGCTTATGAAAATTATTATTACTATTTTTTATTTTTTATATCCATTCATCTTATATTATCATCTTTTTTGTTACATTAAATAAAATACAAATTCAAATAGCACACATTAAATTGTGAACTAAAAACGAAAGCAACCCTTTATACACGTTCTAATCTTTAATAATATTACTGCTAAAACTTAAACATCAACGCTCCATCGACAATGTCTATGCTCAATTAGCAGCATCTACACAATATTTATTATTACTATATATAAATATACATGAAAATAAAAATTCAGAACTTTTTTAATGATGTACTATATGCACTCACATAAACAATATCATAACTCACCAAAAAAGATAATTCTAAAACTAACCACCCTGTATTAGTCAACTTTCATATAATCAAATAGTAAATTAACTTATAAAAAAATATTAATCTTATATTTACGAGAATAATTTAATTTACAAGCTGACGAAATGATAAAACCCGACGCAACCATAAGTTTCGCTAAGTTTCGCCAAGTTTCGTCATTAACAAACCATGTAGCTGCGCCAGGTCTCGTAATTTCATCAAGCATCAATATATATAGTACATACAATTATCAAAATTTTACACTGATTATCCAGAATTATAAGTCATACAACCCTCCATACGTATACACCTATTGAATGTTTTAGATTATGTATTGTAAATCTGTATGCCATAAACTATATTTAAAGCTCACATTTTTTTCTGAAGCTTTGCTGCTTAACAGAAATGTCCAACTGAGTCGCATGCACAAATTATTTATAAAACAAATTTTAAAAACAAATTTTACTAAATTACAATAGACCGATAAACTGTATATTGCTAAGGAAATAATACTCGGACTTTATTTCTACATAATAATATTATTATTTAATTTATAGAAATCTTCATACAAAGAATATCTTAATTCATCAAACAAAACCAAAGATCACAGATTTTGACTATCAAAACAGATAAATAAAATATCTATAACTCCAAGAGTTCATGGAATGCCAGTGTATATGAACCTAAATGCCTTATCGATCACAAATATAGACATAAGAAGAAATTTGACATCTATAATTTTGGAATAATCCTCGGAGGAAAAAAAAAATCTGCAATTCAGACCAAATCACTAACAATAGTAACAAAAACTTAAAAAGACTAAATATAGAATGTAGCATATTAACCAAATATTACTTAAATCAGCAACAGCTCGCGAACAACTCCAGTCCCATATTGTAATTCACTGCTATGCTATTTACGACGAACGATGATAAATTACAATAATCACACT